TAATCTACTACTGAAGCAAACACATACCTCCCAATTTATAGCAGTTTTGGAAAACCTACCCAGCAATGGCATACAACAGCATACAGCAAATCTCACAAGCATACTAGATCTGTTTTAGCCCCTCATTAAATGACAGTCACTGAGCTACAGGATGTGTCTACAATGCAGAAATAAAGTAGTCTGATGCCATTTTAACTGTCATGGCTCCATCCTGTGGATTCTTGGGATTTGTGGTTTGGTGAGGTATTCAGCCTAGTCTGTCAAAGAATTGTAGATGTCAAAGAATTCTATCAAAGAATTCTAGTGCCTCACCAAACTATAAATCCTAGGATTCTGTAGGATATAGTCATGACAGTGATGTCAAACTGCTTTATTTCGTCAACGTGGATATGCCCATAGTAGAAAATTACTCAGCAAGCACCCAGTGAAAATTATTCATGCAGGGCCTTGCCCTTGCATTTCAGATTGTTGCCATTATTGTTAGAAGAAAGCATAAATGAATCAATGGTCAACCTCTGCTTTCTTCCTTCTTTTCATTCTCAGCCATTCATCCCAGCCCATTCCCTCACAGAACAGAAGAGATAAAATGGACCCCATTGTCCATGCAGTCCAACCAAGAGCAGGGAACCATTGCCAAAGCAACTCTGAGCAGAGGGAATCTGATCTCTGTTTAAAAGTCTCCAGTTAAGGAGAGTCTCAGGTCCTTGCAAGATACTTTCAAGTCAAGTTTCAAGTCTGGGATCCAACTTTTTTGGGGGGGGGAAGGCAGGGCATGTTTCTCAGAGAGGAATAGCAAATGAGTTGGCAATGAGCTTCAGGCAGGGCTTGAGGTCTGCTTGGCAGCCTGTCTCTGCTGTACATTGGAGGAGCATCCCGAAGCATTTGAAAAATTTTAGAAGGATAATTAATAATAATAATAATAATAATAATAATAATAATAATAAAAAAATTTATTTATACCCCACCCCTATGAGATCCTTCGTCCTCAAGCCCATTGCCTAACACATTTACTGTTCCCCTCCGAGAAATGCATCCTGCATTCTGGGGATAAGCTTCTTGCCTGCTACTCAAAGTGAATGACACCAGCAAGTTGGGGCCTTTGCAGACTGCCAGAAATAGTGCAAATTGAGTCCACTTTAAGGGTTAGTGTTAGTGTTAGGGAATCATGGGAACTGTTTTTTTTTCTGAGACATTGAGACTGCAAAGGCCCTCAGTCACTAAAAAGATACACGTCATAAGTCGAGTCAAGTGAGGGTATCATTCATTGTTGAGTCGAGTCCAAGTCAAGTAATTGAAGCATCTTGCGTCCACTTTAGTCTGAGTCACTTGACTCGAGTCTACATCTCTGCCACCAAGGTGACCAAAACCACATTGTCTCATAAACCACATTGAATGGATCAAGCTATTCCTTCTTATTCTGGTTTTGGGGCAGTGGTGGCACTTTTGGCAGCATGTACAAACCCCAGAGGATCCCAGGACAGAAAATTGGTCCCTGGATACACCACAGTTTTCTGCCCCCCCCCCCCACACACACTTTGAATAATAATCATGAAGTCTTCAAAATCAGAATGAGCAAAGCCATAGGCGTGCGTGAAAAAATAGAAGCCAACAAGTGGGTTTGTGAAAATATCCTGCCCTCCCCCAAATCCCTTCCTCTCTCACCTCTCTTCCTAGATTTTGATATATGAAAATTCAACTCAGCTCTCCAGGAGGCAGTCAGTTTTGCAAAAAGGGTGAACTGTTTAATCAAAGGCCTGCAGAGGACTAATCAGCATCCAAACAAAGCAAAGAAATGGCTTGTCCAATTTTAAAAAATATAAATGCTTTACCCAGCAGGTTGTTCGGAGTAGGGCAAGTGGACAGATATCAAAGAAATTACAGGATACAAACAAAGCAAGTCAATTCTTTCCCCTGTTCCATAAAATTAATTTGGTTTTTGAGGTCTGTTTTGTACATTTTAAATGTTTTAAATTGTTTTTATATGTTTTATGAGGTTTGTTGGGTCTGTGACCACAGAATTAAATATATATATATATATAAAGAAATAATTGTGAATTATATATATATATATATATATATATATATATATATATATAGAAATCACTCCCAGAGGGTGAAAACCCTGATCCAGCATGCTAGCAGATTGGTGACACTAATCCTTCCTAATCGAGACCACTTGATGTGCAACATGCTCTGTCCTCTTTTCCTTCCTTTGCTTACGGAAAACCAAGCTTCATGTTTGCAAAATAAAGGTTGTCTTTATGTAACTCCACTCATGTTATGCAAATAACGTGAAGGACTCAACCATTGAGAAACATGTTGTCTTCTGGGCAGATGTGGAGTATGAATGTTGAACAAGATTAACATTAGATTAACATTGGGAACATCATAATCTGTTCTGAATGACTAATACTGAACAATGAGAAACGTCTTCCGCTTCCCTGGTCTTTGTCAATCTAGAACCTATTCATATTTTACTCAAGCAAAGACTTGATTTGCTTGCAGATTTCCCGAGAGGCATGGTCACATAATAGCTTGAGTATGTTTGCAAATTTTCATGAATGCAATGGCTGGATTGACAAAATTATTGCTCTGTTCTCCACAACCAAAAGGGCTGGAGGAGAGGAAGGAGCTTAATCAAAGTGTTTGAGATTTGAGTCTGGCTCCTAGTCCTATGCTGGCTTGGAAAACTTGCTGGCACTTTTGGGGAGTGTACCAGTAAAATGACAATTCCCATCTTTGGAAGCCTCTTAGGGCTTGTAGTAGTAGAGGCCTCCAACAGCTGCCAAGACACTCATGGAGAGAACTTGTCCACTTGTTTTTACCAACACTGCTGTTTTCAATTTACTCCCACTTAAGAAGCACCAGTCCTCTGGCAGCCAAATGTAACCAGGGAATTCTGAATTTCTTTCTTATTTTTTTCCCTGCCTCTTCAAGAAGCCAACTTGTTTTAGAAGGTAAGAGAATAAATAGCAGAGGTGCTTTTAAGAAGGTTGGAAGGTGGCTCTTCTTGGGTGAGTGGAACATAAGTCACTTGAGAGTGGTTATAGACACCAAGTGCTTTCAAACTCCCTGACTTCTGGTTCACAAGGTCCCACAGAAACATAGAATTGGAAGAGACCCCAAGGGCCATCCAGTCCAACCCCCTGCCATGCAGGAATACACAATCAAAGCACCCGCAACAGATAGCCGTCCGGCTTCTGTTTAAAACTTTCCAAAGAAGGAGATTCTACCACAATCTGAGGCAGTGTCTTCCACTGTCAAATGGCTCTTACTGTCAAGTTCTTCCTAATGTTGAAGTGGAATCTCTTTTCCTGTAGTTTGTATCCATTGCTCCAAGTCCTATTCTCTGGAGCAGCAGAAAACAAGCTTCCTCCATCCTCAACGTGACATCCCTTCAAATACTTAAACAGGGCTATTGTATCACCTCTTAACCTTCTCCAGTTTAAACATACTCAGGTCCCTAAGTCATTCCTCATAAGGCATGGTTTCCAGACCCTTCATTGTTTTGGTCATTCTCCTCTGGACACCCTCCAGGTTATCAAGATCCTTTTTGAATTTTTGAATGGTGGTGCCTAGAACTGGACACAGGATTCCAGGTGAGGCCTAAGCAAAGTAGAACAGAGTGGCACTAATACTTCCCTTGATCTAGACACAAGACTTCTATTGATACAGCCTAGAATCACATTGGCCTTTTTAGCTGCTGCATCATACTGTTGACTCATGTTCAACTTGTAGTCTACTCAGACTCCTAGATCCCTTTCATGTGTATTGTTGTTAGGCCAGGTGTCCCCCATCCTATATCTATGCATTTCATTTTTTCTGCCTAAGTGCAGTACCTTACATTTGTCCCTGTTGAGGTTCAGTTTGTTAGTTTGGCCCAGCTTTCTAATCTATTAAAGTCATTTTGAATGTTGATCCTCTCCTCTGGGGTATTAGCTATTCCTCCTAATTTGGTGTCATCTGCAAATTTGATAAGCATGCCCTCTATTCTTTCATTCGAGTCATTGATAAAGATGTTGAATAGCACTGGGCCCAGGACAGAACATTAGTTTCCCATGTGAATCAGCCCCATTGTCTTTGGCACAGGTGTGGCATCACAGCGACTCTAAAGTTATTATGTTCTTCTTTGGCTTCTCAAATGAACAAAAGTGAAGGAAAATACAATAAATGGACCAGTGCCATTGCATATTTTCAAAAAAAGAGAGAGGAAACCACCGAGAGATGAGAACAGATGCCTGCATGTTACGTGATCACCCTGTGCATGAATACAGAAGCAGGCCAGGCAACATTGGGAACTGTAAGCCTCACAATCTTGAGCCTCTTATAAATATGAAATATTTATTTCCACCTCTGGCAGGAGAAAGAGCAGGTTGCAGCAAAGATAAGAATCAAAAGGGATTACAGTGGAGCAAATGTGAATTTCCAAAGTACATCTGCCTAGTTTGCTACATTTTGAATGTAGCCTGTGAAGCAAAGAAAGGCAGACTTCAGACTACAGACTTGTGGGATATACTGTATGTTTTTTGGTTTTGTTTTGTTTTTACTAGAATCTCAGGATCTATGTATTACTACCTGGGACAAAAAATATGCCCTTAGAATGAAAGACACTAGATGTCAATCTATTTATCCTGAGCACCAGAATGGAAAAGAACTCAATCCAAAACTTGTTCCTGGTTACCCAAGCTTTCTTGATTTCACCAGTATATTTTCAGAGGAGAAAGGCACTGGTACTCAGACATCCTCATCACTCTGTTGCAAGTCACCCAGAAGACCAGAAGATCTTGATGTACATTCTGTTCACTCCAGCTTTTAGAAATCAGTAAGATCAATTTGAGCCGCCATGGTGTATTGGTTTGAGTGTCAGACTAGGACTCTGACAGACCAGGTTTTAAATCCCTGCTCAGCCATGGAAGTTTGGGCAAGTGCCACTCTTTCAGAGGATGGCATTGGGAAACCAGCTTTGACTAAACCTTTCCAATGAAACCCTAGGATAAGGTCGTCATATGGTATAGTGGTCTGAATATTGGACTAGAACTCCAGGAGACCAGGGTTAGAATCCCTGCTCAACCATGGAAATGGACAAATCACGCTCTCTCAGTTTAAGAGGAAGGAAATGACAAAACTTCTTATAAATTAATCTGGCCATGAAAACTCTAGAATAGGGTCACCATAAATTGAGCTGGACAGTCAAGAAAGAAGATAGGAGGAAAATCAACAGATTTGAGATGTGCTGGAGAAGAGTGCTGAGGATCCCATGGACAGTCAAAAGACAAGCAAGGGGGTCCTAGAGCAGATCAAGCCAGAGAGATCCCTGGAAGCCAAGATGACAAGACTTAGACTGTGGTACTTTGGACACATCATGAGAAGGCATGAATCACTGGAAAAGACAATAATGTTAGGAAAGGTGGAGGGAAGTAGAAAGAGAGGAAGGCCACATGCTAGATGGATGGACTTTATTAAAGAGACCTATGAATATGAGTTTGCAGGAGCTGGGCAGAGCAGGAGAGGACAGGGGGCCTGGAGATGTCTCATCCATAGGGTCGCCATGGGTCGAGACTGACGCGAAGGCAGTTAACAACAACAAGTTGAAGTCAACTTGAGGGCAGATAACAACATTGGTTTTCCCAGTCCCAGTCATGCTTTCTAGAAACACATTTCCATAGGTTTCAGGGTCAATTTTCTAGGAATTGAAAATTGCTGATTTGTTGTTGTTGTTGTTGTTGTTGTGTGCCTGCAAGTTGTTGCTGACTTATGATGACCCCGATGTGAAACTATCATGGAGTTTTCTTGGCAAGATTTATTCAGGTGAGGACACCATGAGACACCATTTCTAAGAAAGAAGGTCACATCTTGGAAAAGCTACAACTCTCAGAATCCTGCATACAGGTCCCAGATTCCTGCGATGGCTGCAGAAGTTGGGAAAGTGTGTGTTTTGTGTGCCTTCAAGTCAATTTTGACATAGGGTAACCCTAAGGCAACCCTATCATGGGGATTTCTTGGCAAGATTTGTTCAGAGAAGGCTTGATATTGCCTTTTCCTGAGGCTGAGAGAGTGTGGCATGCCCAAGGTCACCCAGTGGGTTTCATAGCCGAGTGGAGAATCGAACCTTGGTCTCCAGAGTCATAGTCTAACATTCAAACCACTATCCCACGCTGGTTTCAGCTGTCCTAAAATCAAGAAATTGAAATGTGTTTCCAAGTATCAACAATGAGTACAATATACACATTTACTAACACTTTCTTTAATGGGCACATTTTTGGACACGTTCCCCCCCCCCCTTGAATAAAATATGTTCATGCATATTTTTCAATTGTGTGCACTTTTGCCTTTTCATACTTATTGGAATGTATGCACAATTTCATGCATGTGAAACATATTGCAAGAGTCATAATTGGGAGAACGTCTGAAGCCATGTGCACTTTGTCACACAATAGCACCCAGCGGTGTCAAAATGATAACATTGGCAACAGTCTCATAATCACTGACATAATGGAAAACAACCTAGAAACACATTTGGTTTCCTTCAAAACCTCAAGGGCCCTTTATTCCTCCTCAAGTATTTCCAATGAGATTTCACAATGTGACAATCAAGATACTTCATCGCAACAATTGGTTGCAGCCCTAATGAGATAATATAGGAACAGCTTTTATTATGACTTAGCCTTCCTCTTCTACAAAGGGAATTTTTAAAATAACCAACAAGTATTTGTCTTAGGAATATTAAGGCAGAAAATTCACCATTTTGATGTTTCAGAGGAAACAAAAATCAATATTCAACATTGATTTTGACAGGGTAACAATCTGTAAGCCAAGGTTCGTTCCAAATAAAATTTTCAATTTGGAAACCTATAGCTGGCTTACTATAGGTGTTAGCCCCCTACCACTCCCACCCCCATTTATTATTATTATTATTATTATTATTATTATTATTATTATTATTATTATTATTTCTTATACCCCCGCCTTTTGCCTTGGCAATCAAGGCAGCTTATTTATGCCATTTAAGTACTTTTACCGAAGCCAGCGGTGTGTAGTGGCTTGAGCTTTGGATTGAAGGTCTGGAGACCAGAGTTTGCAGGTCTGGAGACCAGAGTTTTCTGTTCAGCCACGGAAACTTACTGGGTGACCTTGGGCAAGTGGCACACTCTCAGCCTCAGAAAACTGTTAGGGTTGCCGTAAGTCAGAAATTACTCAAAGGCACATAACAATAGCAACAGTACTTTTAAGGCTACTACAGGAGCTGAGTTCAAGATTGTGTAACTTTAGGCTAAGGCACTATATCAAAATGGTAGAGAAGAAATCAGACTAATATGTGGAAGGGCAACCATGAATAAACTGGATGAGATCTTTAAGTGTTAAGGTTTTGACTTGTGACACCCTATACTGCCTGGGTCCAGACTATCTGAAAGACCATATCCTTATATAAGCCAGATCTAGTTTTAAAAAGTGTAGCATCTAGATCAAGGGAAGTAATAGCACCACTCTATTCTCCTTTGGTCAGGCCTCATCTGGAATAATGCTGTGTCCAGTTCTGGTCACAATTCAAAAAGGGTGTTGACAAGCTGGAGCGTGTCCAGAGGAAGGCAACCAAAATGGTTAAGGGTCTAGAAACATGGCCCATGAGGGGAGACTTAGGGAGGTGGGTATGTTTATCATGGAGAAGAGAAGGTTAAGAGGTGGCATGATAGCCCTGTTTAAATATTTGAAGGGATGTCATACTGAAGATGGAGCAAGCTTGTGTTCTGCTGCTCCAGAGAACAGGACCCAGGGCAATGGATGCAAGCTACAGGAAAAGAGATTCCACCTCAACATTAGGAGGAACCTCCTGACAATAAGAGCTGTTTGAAAGTGGAACGCACTCTCTTGGAGAAAGACTTCTTTAAACAGAGGCTGGATGGCCATCTGTCAAGGGTGCTTTGATTGTGTCTTCCTGCATGGCAAGGAGTTGGACTGGATGCCCCTTGGGGTCTCTTCCAGTTCCAAAAACTGCAAGGGAGGGCTTTTTTTGTATCCAGACTGAAACAGTGTCCACCCTTGTTTAGGATGCCAAGGGCTGCTGTTTCTTTCCCCAGATGTCAAGGACAACTAGACACCTCCTCCAAGGTCCACTCCAAAACTGACCATTGATGATGGGCCATAGATGCATGCCAGAGATGTTCATCTGCCCTTGTATGCCCAAAGAAGGAGGAAGCATTGACTCCCTTGACCACAAGCACAACTACGCTGGTGGAGAGCTATGCTCCACCAATGTTTGTTGTTGTTGCGTGCCTTCAAGTCATTTCTGACTTATGGCGACCCTAAGGCAAATCTATCATGGGGCTTTCTTGGCCAAGTTTCTTCAGAGGGGATTTGCCATTGCCATCCTCTGAGGATGAGAGAGTATGACTTGCCCAAGGTCACCCAGTGGTTTTCCATGGCTGAACTGGGATTCGAACCCTGGTCTCCCAGTGTCCTAGTCCAACATTCAAACCACTACACCATGCTGGTTCTCACAATGCTCCACCAGTGGACCTACTGCATTTTAGCCATGATCTAAAGAGATACCTGCTCTCAAATGCACAGTGTGGGACAGGAAAGCAAGTTTTGACAAACACAGCCCTCACCTGGGAACTGATTTTGCAGGAAGCTCTGCCTTAAGTGTCTTAGTGGCCCAACAGAGGTAGGGACATTTCAAACAGCAATACAACGCAGCAGAAAAAGCACTAGGTTTAGAGTGAATGTTTACTTCTGCTCTGAGACTATTTTTGCTTTTATGTCACAGAGAGGTGGGTTTGATGAAATGATGAGGATTTGATTTCTCTCTCTCTCTCTCTTCAATATGTGGGACAAGAAACCTTTGATAATTCCAAACTTGCAACACCCTCTGCTGGAAATATGATAAAATACACCATGAAGAGAGAGCCAGTAATGGTTTGAGTGCTAGACTAGAACACTAGGTGATGTGGGTTCGAATCACTCACCCATGGAAGCCCAGTGGGGGACCTTGGGCAAGTCATACTCTCTCAGCCTCAGAGGAAGGCAAGAGCAAACCCTCTCTAAACAAATTCTGCCAAGAAAACCCCATGATAGGTCCCCTTAGGATTACCATAAATCAGTAATGTCCTGAAGGTAGACAACAACACATCATCATGAAGAGATCCAGCTCTCAAATTGTGGGAGAATGGACACAGAAGGTGCATTGAAACTTTAGAAACAATGCAGGTTGATGACATGTTAAGTGATGTAGGTAGCTTCATCCTATGAAATCCTGGGATTTGTAGTTTTACAAGGTATTTAGCCTCTGGCTGTGTGCTGGTGCCTCACAAAACTACAAATCTCTATTCTGTAGGATGACATGACAGTTAAAGAGGTGTCAAACTGCATTATTTCTGCAGTGTAGATGCACCCCTAGATGTCATTCTACCTGCTTGTCATGTGTTTTTTTTTAAAGGAGCCCAGTATATCATTTTATTCTTTCCAAGCATTGCCCTTCTTTGTAAAATGCTTATTTTTTAAAAGCAATGCAAAGATTCTCAATAAAATGCTCTCTTTCAAACAGCTTTGGAATTTACTCTGACTGCTCAACCATTTTGGTAAATTTTATTTATTTGGCCTCATTTAGTTTTGTTTCTGGCTTTTTGTACTGATGTTTTTTTCATCTTGCACTTGGAGAAACTATGAATTAAAGATTGCACTTAGATATGAATGGATATTAACTTGATATTACCATGAATATTATTTGTTGGAGTAAATCTAAAAGACAGAACTTTTCTACACAAGAGATTGGTCTTTACAGCACATCCCTAGTCATAGTATATCACATAATGAGAATTATTGTTACAGGGATAAAATAAAATCAAAATGGCATAATTGCATATTTTGATGGATCAAAACACATTTTCACTTAACAAAAATCTCCTTTAGAAAGCCTTCTCACTCCTTCCTAGC